GTATGGATATACGTATATAATATCTAATAAGATCATAAGATGTATAGGCATTGAGAATAGTCCAATAGAAGTGCGTTATATTTTCTCGTTCTTCTTTCTGGACGTCGTCGTTTTCATTACTCTTATACTATTCTTTATGTTTCTTTTTTGCGCACATCGATTGGCATTGGAATAAATGTGTAAGCCAACTTTTTTTTTACGCTCTTCTATTTTGGCAAGACAGAAAAAAACATTTCTATAACCAGTTCTGTATATCTTTCAGAAAAGTTTACTTTTGTTGTTTTTATTTTCTCGTCGTCATACTTACAAAGATAATTTACAATTGTTTTATTTCATTCTCGTATACTCTTTTCTTTCTTTTTGTATGTTTCGCTTTCATCGTTCTCTTTTTTTTTTGACATCAGATAGTTGGCAAGGCTATGAAAGCACGCATGCGTATGTGTATGTGTATGTGTATGTGTGTGCTTTGTTCTTGCTTGATTTATTTGTAATGCATTTCAGTTGCCTCTCATACATCGCAATCGTCATTATTGCATTTTTTGCTCTTTTTCTATGTGAGCTTAAAACTATGCATACACATTTTTTAACATAACATATAAAATTATGTAAGTATATGTATGACACAATAAATATTCTTCAATTATTTTAGATAAACAGTAGTAAAAGTATATACAAAACACAAAATAATTTTTGTATTAACGTCTATTAGAAAGAAAGATTGGTTAAATTTATTGACAAGTTTTTTTAACCTTTTGAACGATACGTTATAAAGCAATAGGGTGGCTATCATTAGCAAACCCCCGTTTATACTCGGTAAATTTAAAAAAAAAATTTCTTTGTGAATAACAATTATTGATAAATTTGATTTAGATTGGATGCTTTTACGTAGAAATTTCACCTTAGTTGAAAATCAACGTCATGAAATGCTCACTGTTGTCTGAATACATCGAAGGTAGGTTTTACTTTTTTATTTTTTCAATAAATAATCATGATTTTCTTTTACTTAGCAGCCGTATACAGCTTTGCATTAGGCTATACCTATTGGTATTCATATTATTGGCTGTATGGAACGGATCACAAACACGTATGTTATTGAAATGATATAGCACAAATCTTTATGGCGTGCTTTTTTTTTCTTTAGTTTGAATTTAGCTGATTCTACACCAATGATTTCATCAACGACGCCATCTGATGATGAAGATGATGCAGATGCTCATCATCATCAACAACAACAATTTCCTATTTCATCATCGGATTTAAATCCCATAACAACTAATAATGGCGTCGTTACATCTGATACAATTGTAAACATTAATAATAATGATAATGATTTCGTTAATATTGATGATTTAAATTCTTTTATTCAACCTTCAACATCAACAACAACATTAGATACTTCACAATTTAATTCATATTTAAATTTAAATACATCAAATAGTGAATTAAGTTTTGTTCAACCACTTATTGAACAAGATCAAACAATATTACCTATATATACATCACCTATAAATAATGATGATGAAAGAATAGTATCATCAGCATCATCAACAACATCATCATCAATAAGTTCAAATAGTTCAAATATACAAAATTGTCGTTCATATATGACATTGTATTTTACAGATATGTTGATATCTGCATTTATTATAACACCATTTGTTAATATTCATTGGCGTGGAGCTTGGGATTTACTTGACATACATTTACTACCTGATTATCCAAGTACAAGTGCATTGATTTCAATAGGTATTGGATATTTTATGCTTTATATGTTGTATATGACACAACGTTATTTACAAAATTTTTATGAAAAAAATCGACATAATATTATGGGCTTAATTATGACGAGATTATATACATTATTACTTGCATTAGCTTATATTAATCAATGGCGAGGTTTATGGAATTTATTAGATTTAACAAGTAATGAATGGTATCATTTATTAGCTGAAACAGGAGTTAGTGTTACATTTCTTTTATTAATGAAATCAGTTTATAATCTCAATTCAGCACCATTTTTAATTGGTATTGATACTGATAGTTATTTTTTACTTGATTCTAAATATACTGTTACAGTAAGTAGTTGAAGTCATAGAATTATTTCATATTATAGATTGTAACTAATAAAACTTTTTTTTTTCTTCTTTAGACAAATCACTTTTTGCAATATAATTTTGATTTCTTTTACTATGAATTAGTTGAAGCACCACTGTTAACAATAGCATGGCGTGGTTTATATAATCTCTCTGATAAATATATATATCCTGATAATCGAGAACTTTCAATGATAATATCATTTGCTAGTGGTTATTTTATATTTTTTATTCTTGCTCTTATACAAGTTCCAATTGTTCGATGCTTATTAAAACAACGTCATCAATTTTTACATTCATTTGTATCAACATTATTTCATTTAATTGCATTTTTAAGTGTTGTTCAAATATGGAGAAGTTTATGGATTGTTTGTGAACAATATCTTAATATTCCCGAATATCACAATACAACTCTTTGGCTTTGCTATGGCGCTTCTTTTGTTGTGCTGACATGTGGCTTGGCAGCATGTTCATTGAATGGACCAGGTGGATCCAAAGATAGTTATGTTGATGAAGGACCAATACTTTTATTTAAATTTGATTATTTTTCAACATTACTTAAAGTAAGTTTGATGTTTTAAGTTGCCTTTTTTTGTTGTGCAAAAATAAAAAGTCAAATAGTTTCGATAAAAACAAACATTATATATTTCGTTTTCAGCTACAACGTACAGATGAAACTGCACCAAATCAGACAGCATCTCATTCGGGCGTCATTTTATGGTTAATAGCACATGTATTGAGACGACAGCAACAAAGACGAAATAGTTTAATAAATCAATCACGAAGAAGTACGATGATGAGTATTGATGCACCACCATCTATATCTGAAAATGTTATAATCAACTAAGATAGTTTTGTACGTTAATAAATCAGCTAGCTCTCTATTGATTGTTATAAATTCCCAACATAAATCTTATTTGCTTTAAGCTTATATTTTTTTTTTGTTTTGATTTACGTTTCTTTCCTTTTTTTTCTCAATTCAATTTTTTTATTTAGGGTCGATTAAATCATTCAAAGGCCAATAGTGGTCTTAGTATAAGTCCTGATATATCATCAACAGATACAATTGTGGCTGGTAAATGGTTTTATCGATTTGAACCTCCCTAGTAAAGCACAACAAAATATATTATTAATGGTATCATTATTGTTATTATTCACTGCGCCGTATCGTATAATAATTCCTCTTTGGTTCATAATGCTCGATACATTTAGTTTGTATGCGGTTATGTTCAGTAATTATTAAAAAAAAATTTCTTTTCTTTTTGTTTTCTTTATAACTCTAAGACATTCCTGTTTTTTTTTTTTTATTTTATAATTTTTTTCCTGTTTATTTTCTTGTTTTTAAAGGAATCAAACTTAGCTATTTTTGTCTACAGTTTGTTTTCTTTTTGCTCTTTCTCTTCTCTCTTAGTTTTTTTTCCTTTTTCGTTAGACCTCATCAAAAATTTGTTTGTTATTACTTAGTTTACAGAAAGAGAATACGAAATTCGCAGATTCTTTCTTTTTTTTTCCTCTTTATTTGTTATTATTGTTATTCAAAATTTTCTTTTTCATTCTGTTTTTCCTTTTCTTCTGTACATTCAATAATGTTATTTACAAAGTCATTAAAATGTTCAATTGTAAATTTGAAACTAACAGATTTCTTTTTTTTTTTTTCTTTTCTTGGCTGTATGTTTATTCATTTGATTTTCTGTACTTTCTGTGTGCATACCATTCATAATTTTAAATATACACCAGGATATACAAGTAATTTACTAAAGAATATTTTACGCTGTGAAAAAACAAAAAGAAAATCGTCAATGAGAAAGCTAAGATAATGTCTGTAAACATATTTGATAAGTTTCATCATATAATTAACACCATTATCTTTCTACTGAGGTCACACAGACCATACCTATTATTAATCTATCACATACTATAAATAACTAAAACATTAAATGATTTTTTTTCTCGTCATGTATTTATTTAAATCCTTTTATCAAGATATTATGATTATTATGTTTGTTTGAATAGCCGATACAATGTCTGAAGAGGCTTAGAAAATGTTTGACAAGAATGAATAGTGATATATACGCAGCAAAAACGACAATAAAAATAAGTTATATTCATCATGTTTTTATTTGATTGATGATACTTCAAATGTCTTTCGATCCTATCTTTCAATGGTAAGTATTTTATGTGAACAATGAAAAAACCAATCATTCAAAATCAATACACAAAAAAAAAAATTCAAAGGTTTTCATCGATAATTATCGATGTACGACAGAATAAATAAACCATTCGCGATTTAACGATTGTACTACTTAGTATATATGTATATATAGATGTATCTATATACACGTATTGTTTCTTATGATGTAATTTTAGTCTCGATGGTTGTTTGATACGATCAAAAAAATTTCACCGATTAACCTTAACTAATTTTTTTTTCTTTTGTTGTTTTGTTATTGTCTACAAAAAGAATTTCTTTTTATGCACACAAAAAAAAGAGAAAGAAATCTTGCAAAAAACTACTTCAATTAAAGAGATGTAAGAAAACTCGGAAAAAAGTTATCATTTTTTTAGACAGGTAAATCAAGACACACTCATCATAATTATCAATACTGACGTCGAAACTTGCAAAAATTGCGAACAAAATATTCCTTCATTTTTCTTTTCTGTCAATACAAATGTAATTTAGCATTTGTTTTTCTTTTTTGTATTTGTCTACTCAGTCATTCGAAAAATGCACGTAACGTGTTCTGTTGATGATTTCTTGTTCTGTTTTTATTAATTAAGAAGAAAAGCAAGGGGGCATACAACTATGTTACTAGTTAGTTTCGTATTCAATTTGACAAGTTTAAAAAAGAAAGAAAAAACACATTCGTCGCATAATTAAGTACAAGACGGCGATAAATTTCGGCAAATATGGATTTATTTGATGCACCCTATTATTGGGGACGAATAACACGACAAGATGCAGAACAAATTCTTGATGAATCAGGTTTAAAAAATGGCCTTTATCTTATACGAGACAAATTTGAAGAAGTTGGTAGTTATGCAATAACATTATGTTTTTTAAAACGGTAATAAAATAAAAAGTACAAGCCAAGAAAGAAAATGAAATTTTTTTATTATTTTTTTTCTATCAAAAGATTTTATCATTATCGAATTGACCGGCTTTTAAATGATAATGTTGTTCTTAATGGTTCACGTGCTCAAGAAAAATTTGCTTTTCCAAATAATGATATGAAATCTAATGATCGTGGTCGATCAACACGAAGTTCTGAACAATTAGAATTTTCTGAACCAATGGAATTAATTAGTCATTTTCAAAAACATGCTGAACCACTTGTTACAACGTTATCTGTACCATGTCAACGACCATTTGTAAGATTTCTTTGGTTAATATATTGTTTGAATTATTTTCCTTTCGTTTTGTTTTTGATAAGGATTACAATTTTGTGCAATTCTGGTGTGTACCATTACTCACTCCAGAATTGTATATAAATAAAATTTTTCAAGAAGCTTCAAATACTGATGATGAAGTAAAAGAGATACAAGAAGTTTGATTATTAAAAAAATTTGATTATATCTAGATACCAATTAAAGATAAATTAACAGTCAAAAGATATATTTATGAGCGACGAGTATTAAAGTATTTTTATTGATAGTTTTCATTTTATATAAATGTTTAACTTAATTATTTTTCTTTTTTTAAATTGGAGAACTTTACATGAAGGTGAATTATGGTTTCATTCTCGTATTGGTCGACAAGAAGCAGAAGTTCGTCTTAAGAATGCCGGTGAAAAAAGTGGCCTATTTCTGTAGATATCTCACCATCTATATATTGTTTATTTTTATTGAATATTTAGTGTACGTGAAAAACCAGGCGATAAACATTCTCGTGCTTGTTATACATTAAGTTTATGTTTTCAACGTGAATATCATCATTATATTATTCAAAAAACATCAAATGACTATTTACAAATAGCATCAAGTAATAAGTCCAGACGTATTATTCAATTTAGTAGTCTTGTTCAAGTATGTTTACGCTAAAAAATAATATTGATTATAATGTGTAAATTTAGCTAGTTGATTTCTATCATCGAAATCACCAAGATCTTGCTTGTCCTCTTCTATATCCATGTAATCGTCCTGGTGGTAAACAAATTTATTTTATTTTCTTCAAGAATTAATTTTCTCTTTTTAGGATCTATACGGATTGTTCCTTATCGAATCTTTTTAGACGGTTTTTCAATATAATTTTATATAAAAAATATATTTATGAAATTTCTATTTTTAGTTGATACAAATATGGAATCTGAAACTAATAGTACAGATTTATGGTCTCCAACATCACCAATGTCAAGTGATGCAGCCAATAATTCATCATACGATTTCATTGGTCCGAATTCAGGGCTAATATATGAATGGGATAATAATCATGATTCAACCTTAATTGAAAATATTTTTATCGATGAAAAATATCTGATTTTGGGTGATAAACTTGGTATGTAATAGAAAAATACTTTTAAAACATCGAAATAAATACTTTCTATACATTTTCTTAACAAATGTAATATTTTCACTAAATGATAAAAGTTAATAGACACAAAAACTATTCTCTTTTGTATTACTTATATATATATATATAAGTACTTTGACAGGTATGCGATCTGTCTAAATTCTTATGTTAATCTATGCATAAAAAGTTTTCATTGTTTTTACATAGCTGGATGTTTCTTGTTATTATAGAAATCAGTTATGAAAATAAACAATAATTTAAATATATTTAGGGGAAGGTCAATTTGGTGAAGTTTACCATGGTAAATTAATTGGTAATGATGAAAATAATAATGGTATTGCTAAACAACCATTACAACATGTTGCAATAAAACGATTACGACAAAGACAACATTCATTTATTAAAGAATTTTACAATGAAGGTAAACGTATGTTGAGTTTAGATCATCCTTATATTGTAAAAATATTTGGTATATGTAAACATAAAACAACAGTATCACTTGTACTTGAATTATGTCCATATGGTGCAATGAATCGTTGGTTAAGATTAAATAAGTAATATTTTATAATATGAAAAACAATTTTTTTTTTAATTTAAGAATCTTTTTTGTTGTTGTTATAGAACATTTCGAATGAGTTATATTCTTAATTATATGTATCAAGTTAGTGATGGAATGAATTATTTGCATGAAAAAAACATAATTCATAGAGATTTAGCATTAAGAAATATACTAATTATGTCGAAAACTGTTTGTAAAATATCAGATTTTGGTTTATCACGTGTTCTTGAAGAAAATAGATACTATCAAGTAAATTAAATTTTTTTTTATTATAAACATATGTTTACTTGGTTTATATCTTAGATTGGACAGAATCGTCGATTACCCTCGATCTGGTATCCCCCAGAAGTTCTCGAAACATCTTTATTTCATTCTCAAATTGATATTTGGTCGTTTGGTGTTACTGTTTGGGAAGCTACATCCTATGGTCAAACACCTTATAAACAAGTAAGATGAATTTATTCGTTAAAAATTAAGTTTTTTCTTTAAATTGATGATTAGGAACTTGTTGCAATACAAGGTACACCATTTGATCCCATATCACAAAAATTACTCAAATTTTTACGTGATGGCAATCGTTTAAAACAACCATCTAATTGTCCAAATCCTATTTATGATTTAATGCTCAAATGTTGGGAATATGAGTAAGGAATAACGATCTTCATTATTTTCTTTTTGTTTGTTAAAATTTTCTTTTGTAGTAAACACAAGCGACCGACATTCACTTGGATAAAACAATACCTTAGTATATATACATTTTCTCAAGATTATTAAATATAGCAATATGATCATTTCTAATATTAAAAATATGTGTATATGTTTCTTTATTCTGTTAAATATTTTATTTTATTTATTAAAAAATTAAAAGCGAGTAATTATTTTTGAGTCATTCGTAATTGAAAAACAAGAAGAACCAGATAAAATTAGACAATATTGGATTGCATTGTGTTTTATAATAAATATTCACATGAAATTTTTCTATTCTGCACAGTGTGTTGAGACTTGACAACCAAGAAAGTAATTAAAAACTTAGAGTAAAGTGGGGTAATTGCAAACGAAAAATCGCTCTTTTCACTTCTATCTATCATAACTCAGTCATTTTTTGGAATTTTTTTCTACTTTTTTTTTAGTTGTATAGAGGAATGTTAGTTCTAGGAATTTATGTAAAAATTATCAAGAATCTATTGCTAGAAGTCGTTCAATCGCTTTTTTTGTAGTAGCACCTACAAGTTGTTTGCAATTACCCCATATGGGGTAATTGCATATAATGGCTGTATAACGTGGGGTAATTGCATATCTCCAGCTATTTTACATGGGACTATTGGAAGTCGGTTTTCTCATTATTTTTATAAGATTGATCATCAGTTTTTACATAGTTCGATAGAGTCAGTAATTCTTTACAATCGGTAAGAATAGTATCGTAAAAAATAATCAAGTAGATGAAACAGTAATTTAAATAGTAAAGCGAAAAAATTAAAAAAAAATTTGCAATTACCCCACTTGGGGTAATTGCAAACATAAGCAAAAGGAGTGGGGTAATTGCATACGACACTGCAAAGGTGCTGGAAAAATTCAAATATGATGTAGATCACTTTTTCAAAAAATAAAAAACTCTATCAAAAAATGTCCGCTACCAAAAAGATAGAAAACTTCAATTTCTATAGTTCCAGAGACAATTTTCAATTATTTTTTATTTAAAATACATCATAATACACATAAATATATAGATGTATATATGTACATGGTCAATGGAACGTATTTTTCATAGGGATTTGAACTTTTCGAAAAAGAAACTACAAGTCATATAGTAACAGAACGTTTTTTTTTTCATTCCATTTGTCATATATGTCAACATTATGGACTAGTCAACTGTCGGACTATTTTACGAGTATAAGAAAAAAATATATCGTGCGTTAGTTCACGAATACTTGTTGTACTATTTTTGTTTTGAATTATATAACGTGTATCGACATATGTACTTATCATTTAAATAAAAACAAATCGTGATGGTTCGAAACTATATTCGTAAACGTGATCCACCAGCATATGATGAACAAGAGTTATTGAATGCCATCGAAAAGATAAAATCAGGTGAATGGACATACAAAAAAGCATCAGAAATGACAAACATTTCACAAGGTACACTAGCTGCACGGTTATCGCGTGGTTCTTCAGACCAAGTAGGCCGTCCAACAGCATTAAATCATACTGAAGAAGAATATTTAGTAAAATTTATTGAAACATTGCAAGAATGGGGCGAGCTATGCTCATTTAAAGATGTTATGAAGTATGCAACGGAATATGCTGATTTAATGGGTTTACGATTACGTTTTCGAAATGGTGCACCAACAAAAGAATGGTATTATGGCTTCGTCAAACGTTGGGATCATAAATTGAAATTAATGAAAAGTATTCGTTTAGAAAAAGTACGGGCGGGCCTCACTCCAGAAATTGTTGATGGATGGTTTTGCAAATTGTATTTAACTTTAAAAAAATTAGATTTATTCAATAAACCAAGCAATATTTTCAATTGTGACGAGTCGGGCTTCGGTGATGACCCTGGAAAAAAGGTCGTATTGGTCAAAAGAGGAACGAAATATGCTAATCAGTAAATACATAAGATAATTTTAACAGCAGCTGGGAAATTCATTATTTTAAATAAGAAAGATTTTATTTATTAATCAGTCGACGTTTCGAGCTTTCATGCTCATTTTCAAGACAAAATACATAATAAACAGAATAAGATACAATATGAGAAATATTTTACAATGCANATCCTATTCACCAATAATATTCTTTTCTCTTCCTCCACATATACAATTTCTCGACGAAAATAGAATTAAATATTAGGATGGCGTTGATTTACTATCATCTCAACTATTTCAAATTAAAAAATATATAAAGACTAGAAAAAAATCTAAATTAAAATCTAAAGCATAAAAAAGAAGAGTTAGAAAAATATTTTCCTCTTAAATATAAAGGAAACAAAATTGATTAATGTTCGCTTTTGTATGTTGGATACAAAAAAAAAATGAAAAGCAATACTAATTCTAATGAATGTTGAACTGTGATCTGGATTCGCCCTTTCGAAGGGGATTCTAGCATGGAATAGAGCTCGTCGAGTTCTATCTGATGGTGTGATTTTCATGTGTTGGTCCGGTGTTTGAACGAATCTATACAGATTTTTCGGAAAAAATCCGGTTTTCGGGCTTGATTAGCATTTTTAGAGGGGATTCCAGAATGTGTGTCTCCTAGAAAGGTATCCATTGGATAGAGCACATCGAGTTCTACATTTTAAAGTCATTTTCACGTTTTGGTCCGGTGCATGGGCGAATGCATACAGGTTTTTCTAAAAAACCCTGGTTTTCCGGCTTGATTAGCATTTTTGGAGGTGATTCCAATGTGTGAATCAGCTGAAAAGGTATCCATTCGATAGATCTCGTTGATTTCGATCTGTCAGTGCCATTTTCATGTTTTGGTCCGGTGCATGAGCGAATCCATACAGGTTTTACACAAAGTGTATGATTTTTTGCTATTTTTTTTGCGGTATTTGAGGTTTTTCTCCAGGTTGGAAAGGTGCTAGGGAAAAAGTAAATACTGCATTCGATAGAGCTCATCGAGTTGTATCTTGATCCGGTTCAATCATTTTTTGTTCCGGTGTATGAGCGAATCCATACAAGAAATGCTCGAATCCAGCTCCAAGATGTCGTACGTATAAAAAAATTATCAATTTTACATCGAGTCGTTCTTAACAATGGTTTTCCCGCGTAAATGTCATATTTGAAAAAATGGATATTGAAAAAAAACGAACAACAATGTTTTCAACTTAGTGAATATCTCTATTTGAAATAAATCTGCTTGTGTTACTTAATATTTCCGAACTATTCATCAAGCTTTATTAGACGGGGTATATATGGATATATCATTATGGTCGTAGGACTAAATACCATGGCAAACTTGCGATTATTGTTCATTTGAACCTAGATGTGGACTGGAGTGTGAGTGTAACTGTCGGTGTGGTGTGAGAGTGGTACTGTAGGGTTCGATGCGCGTTCATGAATGTGGATGCGAGCAAGGCCTCTATTCTCCTCTGCTTACAGCGAACATCCAGTCACACCTCCACGTTCACGTCCAAGTCAGTACTCACTCACTAACACTCATGCCAGTGCACCCACATCTTGTGAATACTACAAATGAATCCCACATCATCGAAACCTATATAAAAATAATTTCTGTGTTATAAAGCTATAAAAATTTCCAGATAACGTAACTTCATATACCTCAGTAACGCAAGCTCGTGAAACAGCTTCTCGAAAAAAAAATCTAATCTTCTTCTGTTCACAAAAAGAGTTAAACCATCATAGAGCCCCTTGCAAGGAGTATCAGAATGTGTATAAATCTTCGAATCGAGTTTTCCTCGCGAAGTCGAGTTTTTTGGGCCTCTTAAAACAAACAAAAGCTTTCCCAAACTTTCGAAAAAAAAACATTTTTTCTCTTCTTCAAATAAACCAAGAACAACGAGAAATGCTGCCCACTCCTCTCCAATAAATACACCAAACGCTAGTATTATTTCAATATGACCAATTTCCTCACATAAAATACAAAACGGAGAAAACACTTATTGCATAACCCAACGCAGAAAATCAATAATTAAAGAAATATTAAAGCATTCCAAATGCTTCGCTCAGCCAACAACAATGTTCTTCGGTCACATTGCCTACTTCTTTGCCCCACCACCACACTTATATAGCCCTATCATCTTCATTGTTACCTTTGAACTACCTCCCGCATCACTGCCATTCCACCGAATGGCAACACGTTGACTTATTCTCACATCATCGATCCAATCACCTGTGTACTGTTGACCTCCATCTTCAGAACCTGCTCCAGAAACAAATCTACCTTCTCTGCATCTGGTGTCATCCTTAAATTACCTCTCGTAGCGATCACCATTAGGTCAAACGTAAACACCTTGACCTGTTCTCACATCATGCATCCAATCACCTGTGTACTGTTGACTCGCATTCTTAGTACTTGCTCCCACAAAATAAAGTACCTTTCCCATGTTTTTCTTTGTCTTTAAATTCTCGAAGAAACTGTTCTTTTATTGCGTAATTAACATACCAACTAAATCTAAACAGATTCACCATACACTGACGAGCGATCTGTGAATATTTCAACTCATAACGATCACCATTAGGCCAAAGGTGAATATGCTTGTTGCCGTTGTTCTGTAATTACGTGTTATTGAGGTGAAATTGCTGCGCAGTGGCAGCTCAGATTGTATAATACATGATTCATTGTTTCATATTTAGTGTCTGATGTGTCTGGTAGAGTTGGAACGTGTAATGGCTGAAGATTTGTTGCTGTCGAAATGGTTTCAGTTTTTGACGATGACACGGTGATCGCGTTGATGTTATTTGTGAGGTGGTGTTCAGTTTTATCAATGATTTCTTATAAATGGACTATGTGCATGGGTACTTGATAAAGAGGATCGCTGACTTCACGAAGTCTAGTGTCTGGTCAAAAAATAAATTCATTTTGATATGGGAAATTTGTGTAATCTGAAATATCTTTCACGTTGTCGTAGTCAATGAAGAATAAAGTTGAATTGAATCCGAGGATATCTTGGATGATATTAATGGAAGCTGAACAAGAACTAGTGATCGTTATTGTGAATTCGTCACCTGCTTTAAGAGCCCCCCCCCCCTCACAAACAAACTTTTTGTTTTTCCGTTGAATTCAGGCAAAATTTCAGAGAATGGCACTCTTAGCTAGAATAGATTATGGTTAAAATATCTCCCGAAATCAGCGAACCATTCACGAGTTACAGTGAATTCATTGGTCAAAAATACCCTTCACGCGTGGAAGGTTTTCAATATGAGGATTCGAACTAAGCATGTCGGGTGGTTTTAAATTGTAGAGTACACTTAGGGCTAGATCCTAATAGAGCCCGATTTTTGAATTTCTCCTATGTTTAAATAAAAAGCTTAGATCTTTGGTTTTAATAAGCAATTTTTGGCCACGAATTTGAGCACTTTTCGGAAAAGGTTTTTTAAAAAGCAAACAAAGGGAAATTAATAAATTGGGCTCTATTAGGATCTAGCCCTAAGTTTACTGAACAATTTAAAAACTACCCCGAAGGTGTCCATTGGATAGAGCACGTCGAGTTCTATATTTTTAAAGTCATTTTCACGTTTTGGTCCGGTGCATGGGCGAATCCATACAGGTTTTTCTGAAAAAACCTGGTTTTCAGGCTTAATTAGCTTTTTTGGAGGAGATCCCAAGGTGTGAATCAGCTAAAAAGGTATCCATTCGATAGATCTCGTTGAGTTCTATCTGTCGGTGTCATTTTCACGTTTTGGTCCGGTGCATCAGCGAATCCATACAGATTTTACACAGTGTATGATTTTTTGTTTTTTTTTTTGCGGTATTTTAGGTTTTTCTCCAGGTTGGAAAGGTGCTAGAGAAAAAGTAAATACTGCATTCGATAGAGCTCATCGAGTTGTATCTTGATCCGGTTCAATCATTTTTTGATCCTGTGTATGAGCGAATCCATACAAGAAATACTCGAATCCAGCTCCAAGATATCCTACGTTTTTTTTATCGGGTTGATGCAAAAGTCTCCGCCGATATTCTTTTCTTTTCAACTGTTTTAAATTTTATTAAAACAAAATACCATCAATCAACAACATATGCCCCATTGTTAGCTACGACATACTTTCATCTCTTGGAAATATCTACAATACCATCCTTTTAGAATTTCTTAGAGAAAGACTGAAAGAAAGTTTCAAGCTCTGATTTTTTTAAAGTGATTGTAATCGTCGAAGTGCTTCTTGCGCAGATGATAGACCAGCGAGCGAAACAAATGATAATTGGAAGGTGTCAAGTCCGGTGAATACGGTGGATGGGGTCAGACTTCCCAGGTCAACTCGTCCAGCTTGTGGCGGATGACGTTTGTCGTATGATGTTTGGCGTTGTCATGACACTTCAACGATCACAATCACAATCACTTAAAATCGAACCTTGAAACTTTCTTTGAGCCTCTGTCTAAGAAATTCTATAAGGATGGTATTGTAGATTTTTCTCAGAGATGGGAGTGTTGTTGTTAGGGAACTGCAAAATCACTTTTTCCAGTCCCGTTCCCGGTCCCGGTCTTTGACATTAGCTTCATTCCTAAAATCGAACAATTTTTTTTACGATCTATGTACTTTTATAAATACATAAAATTGACATGAATGATTTTGATTCGTTAACAATACGAGAATTCTTTTATATCCAGTGTTAAAGTGAAAGAATTTCATTGAAAACTCGAATAAATAAAAATAACCATTGAATTTTGTTAAAAATTCTTATGTACTTCGTAGTAGTCATTTACTCATTTCTCTCTTCTTTTATATCTACTGTTTTATCTAATGGATTTATTATCGAATTGATTATTTATACTGAATCACCATTACTATTGTCAAAAAAATAAGATAAATGCCGACACATTGCATAAAAGACTGACCGGGACCAGTATGAAAAATTTTTAGTCCCGGTCCCGCAAAAAAGTCAAATTTTGGTCCCGGGACCACTTTGCAGTTTCCTAGTTGTTGTAGCTAACAATCAT